AACTAACGAACTAATTACTAGCAGCATTGGGAAAGCTTTTATTATTTAATAACAATTTCGTGTCAATTAAAAAGTGAATTATATGCATGAGTGTTGAAAATCTCAGGTCTGCGACCTGGTCGCTTGATAATCTCTTGTATGGCCTGTTTATTGTGTGTGCGCGCTCAATTTGGCCTGACTCATGCACCATTAATTGGCCATTTTCATGGTTGGTGCAATATATATTGTAGTGGTCGAGCCCAACCAAAAAAGGGTCACATCTCCCTTTTGGCCGAAAAGCCCCACTCAAAGCAGCTCTCTCACCGCCCCCTGGGTCTTGCCGTGACCCCTCTCAACGACCAATTACACCTAAACAGCTTTAATTTAATTTAGCCTGCAGCCCATTTGCCGAGCCACTCCGCCACACCCCTTGCGGGCTGACAGTGTAGGCTGGGGCAAGAAACAATGGCGCGGATGTAATGTTCGCATTATGCTCGTTCACAAATTGTAAGCAGCCATTATGTTTCTTCGTGTTGCTGCCCCATGTTGCCACTAGGTGTGTATGTGTGTCTGTGTGTGTGTGTCTGGTTTGCAGCATTGTAATGCCCAGAACTCTGGACCCACCCCAACATGGAGAGGCCTGGCACTCAGAGCTCAGCCGGTCGCTGCGTCCTTTTTGCCAGCGTGTAAAATGATTCAACGCTCGTGTTTTCCATTGTTCTGGCCGCCTCTCAGCTCGCTCTGTCGTACGTCAACATAATGGCGGCTTCGTGATGCCATTGTTGTTGTTTGCTGATTGTTGTTGTTTATTGTTGTTACTACTGTTGGCCATGGCCATGCAGTGGTATTACCTGGCTGGCCATATTTTGCAGTGCCTGTTCAGTTCACTCGAGAGCAAGTGCAATGCTAAATAACAGCAAAGTTTTTACCTGTGTTTGTATTATGCGGTGCACAAATTCCAGTTATTTATCAAGTTAATGGATGCTGCAGTCGAGGCGCGGTTACTGCTAAGCATTTTTAGTTCATCTTGTATGACATTCCAAACCGTTTTACTCACTTGAAATATACATTTTCTTAATATTTGTAGGCTAAGGACAGGAATAAATTGCTTCTTTGGCTGACAGAATTTCATTACATTTTTTTTAGTCAATTTCAAACTACCATTTTCAATTTGAGAAAAACGCATGTATAAATCATGTCGAAAAGGTCATTACCACACAAATTACATGGCAATCAATGGCCCGGCCTACAGTTTGTGGTCGACAGACCAGGTCCAAGGCAAGGAGCAACAAGTAAAAAGAACACAGCACTCGAAACTCAATTGCCAAAAGCCAGCAAAAACTGTGAAACTAATTTAAGTCGACGTCAAAATGCTCTTTCAGGAATATTAATAAGATTTTCATGTAGTCAAAGCCTGCTAAGGAGCAGAAAAAAGTGCATCAACTTATGTTTTGAGAACTAGCTTTTAATCTTTTGACATATATCTGCATAGAACATATTTCTCAGAAAATTCGTATATGCCACAGGTTCTAATTGTGATCCCCATCCAGCAAAAGAGATAAGGTGCTCCAAGTAAAGTAGTTGCCCTTCTGCCTTCTCTATGCAGTATGTAAATGCCCCTATTAGAGTGGCTTCAGATTTGCCTGAATAAATGTCTTAGGGGATATTTTCAGACGAATTGCAGACCCCGGATGCACTGATGTGGTCATATTTTCTGGTCAGTTTTAGTTCAGTTATTTACTAAAAGTTTCCGTTGCGGGAAATTTGTGTGAGCACACAGAGTTAAATATTAAATTCCTAGTGCTTGGTTTGCAATATTGAAAGTACTTCAAGCCCCGATAAGTTAGCTGTAATTTGTACTTTGTGAATTGTATGTGTATGTGCGAGTGTGTATTTAATTGTGACGTACATTACGCTCCATATTGGATATCTGTAATTCCTCAAGTCGTTTTCCATGAACTCAGTCGAGTGCAACGCATTCTCATCAAATGTGGACTTTCGCTCTGTAATTACGGATAAGTAATTGCTTTTGTTTGGCGGCATTCGGCTTGTGTAATCATAAGTAAATTACACAGTCCAGTGATTAAATAAATCTAAGTGAATTTAACTGTGGAATTAGTTTTCGATTTATAAAACCACACGGTAAAAACATTGAGTTCGTAAATTAAATATCAGATTTGATTTATTAGTATAGCCCAGAGCCTTAAGAGGATGTGCAAATTAAAGCTCTTAAAGGAAGCCACTTGAATTCAGTTGAAATATTTAAACTTTTTTTACAAGAAAATTCAACGAATAATTTATTTAAGAATTTAAAATATAATTTATAGGAGCCAACGTTGTAACTGAATACTTTTGTGTGTTAAATCTTTAATTGAATGTCTGTTTCGAATTTATTTTATTAATTTTATTCATGTATTTTCTCTCGACTATGCTATTTTTGTTTGATTTTTCTTTTTTTTTAACTTTTTACGTTATTGACGCCTGCCACTTATTGGTAGATGGAATCTTTTTTCCTTTTTATTGCAGTTTCGCTGGAATTTTTATTGGGTCATCGGTAACTGATTGTCGTTATTCAATTAAAACTGCCGCCAGACTTTTCAATTTAGCAAATCAAGTACACTGAATGGAGGACTATAAATTTGCCCCTATTCACCATTTGGCTGGGAAAACCGCGTAATTTCTACGTACTTTATTTATGCGAGAACGGCGTGATTTATGTGCGAATTTTGGCAAACCGCAGAACAACACTCCAGCACAATCCTAAGTGCTTATTGTCAACACTTGTCTTGCTTGTCTATCTAAATTAATATGTGTGTATCTGAATGTATGTATATAATGATTTCTGGTGTCTTTTTGTGGCGTGTGAACAAATAAAAAAACAATATAATTCATTGCAAATAAAGCAAGCAACATACAATTATTTATCACTATTGCGGCCGTCAAGCGGCATTGACAGCAGTCAGAGATGGCTTTGCTGATGTATCCGGCTGTCGCTGGAGGCGGCTTTCCGCTCAAGACACCACCACCCCCCTCCCAAAAAAAAATCCAACATAAATACAACAAAACAAATGTCAGTCAACAGAGACATACGCCGATACAGATACAGATACAGATACAGATACAGATACAGATACAGATACAGATACAGATACAGATACAGATACAGATACAGATACAGATACAGATACAGATACAGATACAGATACAGATACAGATACAGATACAGATACAGATACAGATACAGATACAGATACAGATACAGATACAGATACAGATACAGATACAGATACAGATACAGATACAGATACAGATACAGATACAGATACAGATACAGATACAGATACAGATACAGATACAGATACAGATACAGATACAGATACAGATACAGATACAGATACAGATACAGATACAGATACAGATACAGATACAGATACAGATACAGATACAGATACAGATACAGATACAGATACAGATACAGATACAGATACAGATACAGGTACAGATACAGATACAGATACAGATAAAGATATAGATACACAAATACGGACACATACGAGCTGGTACAGCCGCGCCTACAAAGGGCCCTGAAACTTTTAGATTTTGGGTTTTCGCAGTCTTCTTTTCTACTTTTGTTCTTTTCTTATGGAGCACAACAGACCTAGGAGACGACCTACAACTGGGAGAACGAACTCCAGTCGGGTGAGACGTGGCAACATATTTTGTGCTAAGTCTCTTGTTCACACTAACGCGCCGTGGACAGTTTTTCGTTTTAATTCCGTATTTTCTTCTCTTCGCTTATTTTTTCTCCATCTTTTGCTTGCCTGCCCTTTTGAGGTCGTTAGTTTTTGGTGTAACACTCTTGAAGTGGCCACAATAACGCGTTTGCTTTTATGTTGTTTTTTTGTTTTTCACAGATTTGTTCGTCAGTTTGTCAGTCTGTTTGTCAGTTGGTGCGTCAGTGTGTGTTGTAAGTTGTGTGAAATATCTCACCAAATGGGCAAAACAAACATCCGCCTCAAGGCTGTCGCTTCGATGATTTCATGGTCAAACTTTTGTGAGCGGCATCGTTCATTCACGTTTTTGTTGGACGACTCGAAAGTCTGGCAACGCTGCAGCACGCTCTCTCAGCACTCACAACTGCGGTTTGTGTCTTGTCTACAAAACTGGTTTCAGTTTCGAGATGCTGCTGAGACTGTGACGTTTTTTCTGGGCAACGTCTGGTTAAGTCATATTAGCATATTCAGACACGTAAACACACACACACACACACACACACATACACGCACACACACAGTAACTATAACTTTGTGTGTTAATTTGGCAGTTTTTCAAGTGCTGACATTGACCCACTTACCGTTTGTCGACGTCGACATCGCGTAGTCGACTTCAGCTTCATCTTCATCGCCTCATTTGCTGCTTGGCAACGCCAAATCGACAGTAATTTGAGTGTTAAATGCGGTCAATAACATTTTAAAGAAAACATTCGATCGCGCGCACACACACAGACATATAAACAAACCAGACGGCTTACATGTTGCATTTCCATTTGCATTTAATTGATAGTGTTGTAGAAGTGCCCAACTGACCACAAAATTCACTTGCATTTGCATAAGCGAGTAACAAATTTAGAAATGGTCACACTTTTGATTGATCTAAAGAATTTGTCCGGCGAATAGGGTTTGAACTCGTTGTTAATTTAGATTTGTTTAAATTTAGGTCTATTTTATCTATCAATTATAGCACCATCTTATTAAATCGAGTTATTATACTATAATCTCTTAAAATCGAAATATCTACTATTAACTTTAATAGAGTTATTTTATATCTTGTCTAATCAAGCCACTAAAAGTTCAAGAACATTGCTAAAAAAAAACCATACAATACAATTTTCTATCTGTCATCCCTGGGGTTGTCTCAATACAATCAAAGGTTATTTTCAAACGTTTGTTGTTAATGATTAAAAGTGTTAATTATGAATGGTTAACAAACTGGCATTCACAGTGATATTTATCAGTACTTACATGGAACCCTTGGGCACTGTCATATTGAGGCCGTCCAGTACAATATTTGGAATCTTGCCGCCGCCATACATCTTGTGGGCGCGCCTCACACAGACCGCTTGCTGTCGGCGCGTCGCCAGCGTCGATGGCTGTGATATGAAAAGGCGACGACGAGCGGCCAAGTCCAGATCGCTGTTTGCAGCGGTTGCAGCTGCAACTGGCGCCGTTGGCGGCACCCCATCGGCTTCAGCTTCCATGTTTCTGGTTGTTGTTGTCGTTGGCTGCAAATGTCGAATTGAAATCGATGTGAACATTTGCGAGTATTTGAATATTGAAATAAAAAACAAAAAAATAAAACTCAAATTGGCAAACTCTTTGCGCGGCATCGTTTGCAGTTGGCTATTGCGACTGGCTTGCACTGACAGGAATGAAGCGAAGCGATATGTATTTGTATATATATATATATATATATGTATATAGCTTTAGAATGACATGACCCACGCAGCAGCTCGCGTAAATGGAGCCAACTCCACCCATGCATCGTCGCTGTCAGTACGCGTCTAACTCGGCCAAGCTCTAACGATTGCCGTACTTGTCAGTATTTTTTTATTGGCTATTTTTTCCAGTGCTGATGGTGCTGTTGTTGCTCTTAGTGCTACTGCAGTTGTTTCACAGTTGATTAAACCAATTTTTGTATATGGCCAAGCTTTTGGCCAGTACCATGCAGTTAGCCAGTGATGGATATTGCTGCCATGTATTGGCAGCTCAAAGTTGTTCGACTATTGCCAATTTTCTAGCAGCCAGTGAAATGAAATTTTCAAAATGGCCTCAACCAGATGGTTGACCTCCTGGCGGGTTAACGGCCATTTGGCCAAAAATGCTCGAGCATTTGTCCTTTTATTTCCATTTTCGTTTACATTTCAAGTTGACATTCTGCTAATCGAAAATGCAGCAAACAATTTGCGAATTGCCGCTAAAGTTTTGCAATTATTTTGGCCAAACCTCATGACCAAAGAGGCGAACAAAAATAATGAAAAATAATATACCATATACTACATAGAGTAACCTAAGCTCCGTTTCATTTATTGATTTACTTCGCACTAACAATGGTCTGGCCAAATAAATAAAAATAAGCATAACAACAGCAAATAACTAACCAAAAGTAAACAACAACTGACGCCTTGTGGCTCGGGCTACGCCTCCTCCTCGCTTTTGGTTAGCTTGGCTTTTTCGGGGCCAGCAGCAAGAAATAAACTTTCTTGATAAATGACTTCAATGTAATTAATTTCTGCTCAGCTCGCTTGCAATGCTGGCAAAATTGTAAGCACAAGTGTACGGCTGTAGCCAGGAAGGGGCTGAGGGGTGGGGAGGCGTCGAGTGGGTGGGTTGCCGGTGCGGTTTGGTACGGCCACACTTTTGTGTGTGCTTTGTGTAGGGAAGGAGCGGCTGGTTGGAGAGGAAGAGCAAGCTCATGAGCAGTGGCCTGGCCAAATGCTGTCACTGCAAATGTTCAGTTGGTTACTAGAAGTCTTCCTGTCACTTTATGTCTCTCTATGTCTCCCTGTCTTTTTGTTGTGTCTGCAAGTCAGTAGCTGCCCCGCAGCATTTCAATTACGAAATATTGTTTTAAACATGTAAGTAGCTGATTTCGCCAACTTATTGTTGGCCACACAAGATAAGCTGCAATTCAAGGAATTCTACTTTCTGTATCCCATTGCGAACTAATTACATTGTCATTACGTCATCAACAACATTAAACAATTTTCAGTTAAGTCCATTTCATAATAATAAGAATTGTTAGATAAGTGATCGCATTTGGATCTCAACTAACTTAATCAATATCAACAAATCATGTTACTCATTGCACAGGCGTAGCTTTGTAGCTTTAATTTTTCAAGATCAAATTATAAACATATGTATGTATTTACTTAAAACCCAATTGAGCGGTTTTTCACAATCACATTTTTTACTTTGTCATCTTTATTTTAATAACAATAGGAAAAAACTACCCAACAGAAATGTTCACACACGCGTACACAATCAGTTAACAAACCAAGTCTTGTAATTGGCTCATAAAAAATGATCAACATCCGTTTCCTTTATTGCGCTACTTAGCTCTGAAAACAAAGCCGATTTTAATCAGATCTTACAGATATTATAATTTTACTTGCTGTGCAAAACCTTGATACATTTTGGTTAGGTAGACTGTCCTTAATTGAATTTGCATGCTGTTCTCAGAATAACCACTAACCTTTATGCCCAGCCTGCTGCGCCACAACTGTGGTGCTGTCCACTTGCACATGCCTCTAATTAAAACTTTATTTATCTTTTTGCTGGGTGGACCTAAGAGTTTGCTGGCTGATTGGCTCTAGTTTGGAGCACCGGACAATCTGTGCTCCATAGTAACCACAAATTTAATCAAACAACTGTAAAACAAAGTCCACACATACAAACATACATAAGCAAAGAAAACTACCTTGAACAAATACAAACAAACAAACACGTTCCAAATCTTTGAGTGCTTGCAAATTGTAAAAACAACAAGAAAGTTATGTGCAATAATTTAGAGAAAAAATAAAAAATAAATACGAATAAAAAAAAGGTGTTGGCAAACTACGAGTGTATCTAAACAGATAAAAGTATCTTTTATTGTAATAAAACGGCTAACGGCACGTGAACAATTTGAAGTCAGACAACCGTGCCGGCAATTTTCTGGTTACCGTAAATCTTTTAAAGTTTTCACGTGTCTCGACGTAAACGAATCCATATCAGGTATCGCCAGCACAGATTTGTATCCGTTCTCTATAATGCTTATAGATGCCAGAGCTGGTTGCCGAAACAGGTGCTAACTTGGCAGGCAAGTGAAGCGGAAACAAAAAAAAAAAATCACAAACAAGGCTCAAAAGCAACAGTCCTATAAGTGGGGGCTGGGCTGGGGCTGGATCAGCTGGGCGCATGCATGAAAAGTAAAATATGTTTATAAATAAAGTACAAAACATACACACACAATCAAAACACTTGTAGGGGGCACTCACACACTAAGTTTGAAGTTCAGCAACATAAAGAAGTGCAAATTGTTGCGTGCTGCGATTGTATCTATCGAAGACGGGCGCACAAAGGTATTTCCTGCCAACAAATATAAGCACCGCAATAAAATGAAATACACCAAGAAGAGCAACAGACACAATGCTGGCTCGACAAGGAAAACTCACAAGTTTTTTGTTTTATTTTTTTGGAAGTTGGGTGTGGGCGGAGGGGGAAAATAAAAAAGTTATAAAATGAAATGATTATCTGGTGCCTGGCGTTTGTCTAGCCATAGAAATACATGAGTAAATACGCCTATACACACACACACGCCCAGGTACTTGTGTTGGTGAGTGTATTCAATGTCTTTGAGATATATTTAACAAAAGGTGCGACAGCTTGGCTCGCCAGGTAAATAAGTCTATAAGTGACGAAACTCGTCTGCGTCTTGGCTTATTGCAATGCGAGTCACATATTTGTACAGCTTTACTGGTTTACTGCATTTATATGAGGTGGCCCAAATATATTTATAGGATATATATTATGTTATATGCAATGATCTGAGCGTTTATGGTGTCAGTAAATGTTTATCGTTCGCATAAACTTTAGTGCACATGGAGATGTTAATCATGACGTAATCAAAGTCACAGTTCAGATCAAAGATTCGCCTCAGAGCTCGACCGTATAACGATTATTAAATATACTTATAAAAAAAGTTGTAAAATATTATTGTATATTTAGCAATTATTTTTTGCGATGAACATTGATGGCTAAAATATTCAAGACATATTCATATAAAAATATTTATTTACAAGCTCATAAATTCGAAATAAACCCGTATTTTTTTGTTCAAGCGAATTTTCTATTAAGTCCACAAAACAACAATTTTATATGCACTTATAAAATCTGTATCAATAAATAAATTTAAGATTTTTATAAAGCTTTCTTTATAATTGAATTCAAAAATCTGTGTATAGGCTTTTTGGCGCTTTATTCTGCATTAGGTTATTTGAGAATTAGGCGTCATTAGCCGCTTGAATGCATCATTTGATTGCTTTGGTTGCTTTTTTAGTTTCTCCAAGTGCTATCTAAGGGCTATCTTGTAAATAACTACGCACAGTTTAAGGCACAATATAAAATGGGTCAATGGCTCTTCTTGGCACACACTTGCTGGGCCAGTTCATTTACATATAAAACGCATTTGAAGTGCCAGAACAACCAGAGCCTAGCAACTAGAACGAACAAAGTTTGCCTCACAGAACTCACTTTTCGCTGGGTAATAAATATTTATATTTATTTTTGCACATACACAAAGCTATTATAGTGCTATATCTTTCTCCCTCTGTACTCTCGTCAGCCTCTATAGTTTGGTCAGTTTTTGTTGGCCCTAAAAAATTTGCACAAAATTTTACGCTCAATAAATTTAACAGCAAAAATTTGCCGGCCCATACCAAAAAATGCGCTCATGTGTTAGTAATAGGCGAGTTCCATTGACTCACTCTTCCTCACCATCACATACAGACACAACGAATCTCCATAATAGTTAACAGATAATTTTCCACATCTCTCCACAAACATTTGCTGATGTTTCAGGCAAATGTGTAGCAAAATATTTTTGTACATCGTAAATAGTTTGCGTATTTTTCCAGAGAGCTGTTTAGATAAATTCGGCTAGAAGAAAGTGCAAGAAATGTGGCAAGAGAATTGTTTGCGTTTCCTCTGCATTCCCCAAAACACGAATAAAATGCACAAAAGCTACATAAACTCATGAAATACTCAGTAAAAGCTAAAAATAGAAACACAGCTGCAAACTACAATTCGAAAATACAATAATATTTTTCACATAATATTGACTGTTTACGAATGAAGCACAGCAGACGCAAAATTGAACATCCACTTACAAAGTCCAAAACATGTGTGTGCATGTGTGCATGTGTGCGTGTGTGTGTGTATGCGTGTGTGTAGATCATTTGTTTGGCTCGCCTCGTGTTTTGGTGTTTTTCTGGGTTGGTCGTTTGCCAAGCACATTTGTATTAAATGAAGCCTATTTCTTTTTTTTGTCTCTGTGTGTGTGTGTATGTGTGTGTGTGTATGTGTGTGTGTGCTACCAACATGAACCGCAATTATTACGAGCCATTAGTTACTAAATAATCATTGAAGTTTTGTCATGAGTCTGGTTTCTGTGAGATTTACGAGTAAATAATTTTCGTTAAATATTTTGTATGTAAATGATATATGTAGTTGTAGTATATACAGA